AATCGAGTTAATCCCCAGACACACATAGCCAGAACAGCTGGCCAGACCCATGAAGCACACTTGGGAGAGAGTGATTATTTTAACTTACTATAGTAACTTCTTGGCAAATTATGTTGTCAACTACTTCCCTCTGCCCATTTATGCGTGAAAATGTTAGAGGGAGCGGAAGAGAGTCTCCCAGTTATCTCTGGACTTAAACCTCGGGTTTTGCCCCTCTCCTTTCAACACCTTTCTTAATCAGGCCCCTGACTCTCCTTCTTGCTCAATAGGTCTTCTGACCTGAGAAGCTGGAACAAAATAATTAGTCGCTCATTGCCCCAGAGCATATGCTTTTTGGACCTGAGGTTATTTATCAGATGGTGTCTAGCCAAGGAAAAGCCGGGAGCCTTCCATCAGAACAGCTTTGGCTGACGAGATTAGATGCAGAGCCCAATAGGTCTTTTCTATATAGGGAATTCTCATAACTAGGGACACTGGTAGAAGGCTCCCTCTGGTTTCCATCTATCCTGCATTCAACTTAGAGATGGCATCAGACCACCCTGTGACTGCATCTAGTCCACCTCGCCACAGCATCTGCATCCTTCCTAGAACAGGGCCCAAATACAGTGGCACGCTGGGCTGAGTCTGGGGGGAATGGAGCAGGTCCCTGGTAGACTGCCAGCCCAGAAGTGTTTGATCAAGGTTGTCTCAATGGCTCCAATCATGCTTTGCAACATACAGTCACCCTCTGCTTCTCTGGACCATGCAGACTGGTCCTAAAAAGGGCTGGGATCATTGGGACAGTTAGGAGCAGGTAAACCACTAGCTCTGGAACCATCAGGAGCTAAGAAGCACGGCTTACACATGCGCACCCAGCACGGCAAATGCCAGGCCACGGGCAGCAGAATGGCAGAGGAAGGAGAGGTCAGCAGGGAGAGGACTGCGGGAAAGCTTAATGGCAGAAAGCCCTGCTCTGTTAACCAGGAAACACTACTGGGGAGGCCTTGTGGCCTTGGGGCCTGAGCCTCTGCTGTGGAACTGGGCTGTGTAAGCTACTCCCATGTGATAGCAGAGTGTGGTGACGTGGTGTAAGTCCTACATGCTGACAGAGGTGAGCCCCTATCACTTTAGAGACTCCATGTGTGTCCTCCAGTTGACAAATTTCCTCAATCCCTCTGCTTTCCCTCAAATATTTGCACTGTCAAGGGCAGAGGGAAAAGCATGGGGTGTGAGGAAGTGTAAGGAGAGTCCCAGGTCTGCCCTTACTCACCTGCGATCTTGAGGCACCCTCTTGCCCCTCAGAGCCCCCACGCTGTGGAGTATGCAACACCCACATAAGCAGGGGCTCTAGAGATGAGGATAGGACCATTCCTCCCACTGTATTCTGCAACTCCATGGAATGTCCCAAGATACTTTTGGAAAGAAACTTGAGTTTTGGGGGACTTCAACTTATTTCACTGTCCCAGCCCAGCCATGGAGCCCAACTATTTATCAGAGAAAGTCTGGGACCCCATGCATGGATTCAGGCTTTGAGATTCTGGTGGTGCTGGTCCTTCTGCCTCAGTAGCCATTGGAGAGCCACAGCCATGACTCTGTGCTATCCATGGCTGTGGGCCTTGATAAGGGCCACAAAGTGACCAAGAACATAAGCAGGCCCAAGTGCAGCCACCGCCACCACGGGCGCCTCACCAAACACACCAAGTTCATGCGCTACATGATCTGGGAGGTGTGCTGCTTCGCCCCCTAACAGCAACGCTCCATGGAGTAGCTCAGGGTGTCCAAGGACAAGTGCATCCTCAAGTTCATCAAGAGGGTGTGGACATACATCCACGCCAAGAGGAAGCTCAAGGAGCTGAACAACCTCCTGGCCACCTTGCGTAAGAAGGCCTAAGCTCCCTCCACTGTGGAAATAAAGCCTAATTTAAACTTGGGAAAATTAAAAAAAAAAAAAAAAAAGACTTGGAACGTTCCCTACATTTTGCTGGGAGAAGTTGGCAGACATTGTCCTTCTCTGAAAGAGCACTTCTCTCTTCCATAGGAACAAGCTCATTGATTTGAATTGTGAGTGTGGGGACCAGCAGTTAGCATAATGGCTATGTCACTGGAGTCCCACATGGTCAACCGCGGTTCGAGTCCCGGACCCGGTGGCTTAAACTCACGCCAGGCACATGTGTGTGCGTGCCCAAGATCCCAAGAGGAGAATGGAGGAGAAGGGATTGCAGCGTGGCCATCCCCTCTGGGGGGTGATTTCTCACTTTCTATCTCTCTCCATCTCTCTCTGTCTGTCTGGCGAGCGCACGTGCCCTATAGCAAAAACCTCTCCAAAAAGAAAAAAAAAAAAAAAAAAAGAATTGTGAGTGTGAGAGGACCTCTAGAGATCATCCAGTTTAACTTCATCCTGTTTTATAGATTTGGAAACTGAGACCAGAGAGAAAAATCGATTTTCAAGTTCATTCTACCCTAGTTACTGGTAGAGCCAAGTCTTTTAATTCTGGTGCTTTCTCTTACACATCCTGCTTTGAAAGTTGTGTATCAGTCAAGTCTCACTTGAGTTGCAGAAGATGATTTTTCTTTCTTTCTTGCCTGTTTTAAGGTTTTTGCCATAGGGCATGTGCACTCACTTGGAGAGAGACAGAGAGAGGGAAAATGAGACCACTTCCCAGTCCCTTCTCTTCCATCTTCCTCTTAGGATTTTAGACTTGCATGCACACATGCCCAGCATGATTTTCAAGCTGCCATGTCCATGGCCCAAATTGAGGTGGTACATGTGGGAATCCAGCACCTTAATCACCACATCACCTTCTGGCCCAAGATGACTTTAATTTCTGAAAATAAAATTATGGGTTGGTCCGAGTCAACCTGAATAGCCCTTATAAGTACAGAGACAAAAGGTTCGAAAGGAACAAGATGGAAGGAAGGCTGGAGAAAGGAGGAAGAAGAAGGCAGGAGGGTGGAGAGAGCAGGTAAAAGAAGAATGTGTATAACTTGTCACTTCTTAGTCATTTCCTGGGGGGGTCCATTTCTAGCAAAGTGACACCTGCTGTTCCCTGGCAGCCTGAGAACCCTAGTTAATCTGTCTCTAAGACATCCCCACCCACTGCAGCCCGACCCCTGCCCCCTGATAACAGATGAACCAGACTCATCTTCACTTGACTAAGTCTTCCCTGAGATGGTTCCAGTTGAATTAGTAAGCACCCTCCAGTGCCCCACAAAGACCCTCTTTCTTCCAGATAGGCCTGCTGCTCTTCTGGGGATGTCATTAAGGGTCCCACAGTCCCTGTGAGCATCCCACAGTTAGCAGTCCTGTAGCAGAACCCACTGCAATTAAAATCTGAGTTCTCTCCCATCCCACAGGACATCTTCATGTATAAAACAGGAAGAGGAGGACCAGCAGGTGGCGTGGTAGTTAAGGTGCTGGATCCTACATGGCCAAGTCCATGGGTTCAAGTCCTGGACCCTGTGTCCTGAAAAACATACTGACCACATATGCATGTCCAAAATCTTGAGAGGAGAATGGAGAAAGGATTGCGGTGTGGCCATCCCCTACAGGGGGAGTGACTTCTCACTTTTCCTCTCTATCTCCCTTTCTCTCTGCCTCTCTCTGGCAAGTGCATGTGCCCTATGGCCAAAATAAATAAATAAATAAATAAATAAATAAATAAATAAATAAATAAATAAATAAATAAAAAATGGAAGAGGAAGGACATGTCTGTTTACATTGGGGTCAAAGAGAAGCTGTGCTTTTTGTGCCGGTGCAGAGTGACCTTCAGCAGAACTTGGGGTTTTGATATTAAGCAGACTTTCTTGGCTGTGGGCTTTCAGTAACTTCCCTCCTTGCACTGTCATCGAAGTTTCTGTCTTATGGGCTTCCCCAGAGTACTGGGTTAGCTAAAGCTCTGTGTTTAGAACTTCAGACTATGGTCAATGTCCCATGATGAACTGACTGATCCCTTTAATTAGGAGAGGAGAAAGATGTTAGTTTTCCTGGACAAAGGTCCAAGCTATATGACATACTTGTTTTTATCAAACCAACAATATGAGTTGCCTCCTGGAAGAACAATGGGCTATTTGAAGGATGAGCCTGGGTAGAGAATATTTTAATATATAATCCTTGGTATATTTTCAGTGTGAAACCATAAAAATGTTTTTCTTGATTAAATTTTTTAATGTAAATTTTTTTTTCAAGAATTATTTATTTAATGTTATTCTTTAAATTTTGCTATAGGACACATGTACTCACTAGAGAGAGAGAGAGAGAATGAAAAAGCAAGCTACCAGGTCTGGGACTCAAACCCCAGCCAGTCATGTAGGAGTCTAGCACCTTAACCACCATGCTACTTGCTGGTCCCATAATTTAAAGAAATTTTTAGAGAACATCTTTGTAAGAGGACCTTTGGTTTTATTTTTTTATTTTAACTTTTAAAGTTTGTAAAGATGGAGACAACCTTAACAATCACATATAAGCTACCCTTTTTGATGATTAAGTCAGAGAGCTAGAGGACTGTGAGAGACTTAATCCAGTGACCACCACATGGTACAAACACGCATTTTCCAGATGAGGAAACTCAGGCCTAGAGAGAAGATGAGACTGGCTAGGATGTCCCAGGTAGTTAGAAGCAGACTGAGAGCTAAAACTGGTACAGGGCTCTCGCTACTGGTCCCTGCTGCCTCTCAGGAAGACTACACCTTGGGATTCCCGTAGGTTCTGTTGGAAGTAAGTTCTTGGTGAGTTATGTGTACTGACCACATTACCGAATATGCTGCCACCATCCTCTGCTTCCCAGTTGATTTGCTAGAGGTATTGGCAACCACTGGGAACATTCTACAAGGCTGAGGAGTGAGACACAAATATGACCAATGAAAGGCACAAATACAACTTAGCAAATGATCTCCTGAGAGTAGGCTGTGTCACCCGCCATTCCTCTTCCTCACCCGTGGAGGTTCTTCCCAGAGGGGACTGCATGATACGTGAGGAGAGATGAAGCCCTGCCCAACATACATGTATGTGTGTCTCGTTACAGAGTCATCAGCTACGAGTGCTGTCCTGGATATGAAAAAGTCCCAGGCGAGAAGGGCTGTCCAGCAGGTAAATACACCAGGCCTTGCCTGCTGGCATGTGTGGAGGTGGGCAAGGAGAGCACCCTGTAAAAGGTCGCAACAGGAGTCTATGGGATGAGGATGCCAACACGGCATTTTCCTTACGTACTCACTGGCTTCTGGGTTGCATGTGAGGATCAAGGGTGGGAACTGGAAATGCTGGAAGCTGGAGGCATCCCCTGAGCCCCTCCTGACCTCCTCAATGAGCAGGTATAGCAGACGCACATGCTGGCCTGCCGTGCTCTGCTCAGCGGGCCCAGGCTCATCGTCTCTGCCTGGTTGTGATCCTAAACACATCCAGCAGGGTTAGTTTGATGGCCCTTCCATTTCTCATCAGTCCTGCTAGAGAGCAAATGGGATTGCTTGGTCCCTGGTTGGGCTGGGAACCCCAAGCCATGCCCACCTCTTTCTGGGGTCTAAATTTGGCCCATTAGAGTTCTATAGGGAGGCGAGCACAGGCCAGATGGGCTCACCCTGAGTCAACACACAGGCTACCACACAGGGCCGTGCTGAGCCGAAGACAGCTTCACACCCGTGCATTGTATCAGAGCCTTCCTTTCTTGCCACAATGGGCAGAGGAGTGTTTTATTTTCACTTAGAAATATTAGCTATTTTTAACTTTAACTTTAAAATAGCAGCTAGTTTTAAAGTTAGAAGTGTGAGACTGAGACTTAAAGGATAAGGGGGAATTTGGCCCTAAAGCAATGAAGGTGTTGCTGCCCTGGATGGGGCTGTGGCCTTACTGCCTCAAGGGGGAGGAAAGGGAGGGAGAATGGATGGGGAAGGAGAGTTGGGAGTTCAACCTGTGAGCCTCTGAGGTCTGAGGGTCAGACCTTTAATACATTAGGTTCACTGTCTGAAAAGGCCCTTCTAAACTTCAGGCTACATTTGAGAAATATTTTATTACCTTCGAATACACAAAGTATATAAAATGTTTTTATTCTGTTGGTTCATCGGAAAAAAATCACAATGCATTTTTTGCATAGAAAACAGGAAAATACATCATGACTTTCTCAATAACCCAGTAGTAGAAGCCATAAGGGAACCAGTTTGATAACTAGATAGATCCATAAGACTAGTCTACCATATGAAATCTATTTCTGGTATACTTTCCTGCCTATATTAATTATCCTAAGGTCTAGGAATAAAAGCTTTGCTTTGTTGTGTTTAAAATGATTAAAAATGGGGACCAGCAGATGGCATAATAGTTACATTGCTGGACTCCCATATGGCTGACCAAGATTTGAATCCTGGACCAGGAGACTTGAAACTCACACCAGGCACATGTGCGTGCATGCCCAAAATCCCAAGAGGAGACAGGATTGTGGTGTGGTCATCCCCACTGGAGGGTGATTTCTCATTTTCTCTCTCTGTCTCTCTTTCTCTCTCTCTCTCTCTCTGGTGAGCATACGTGCTATAGCAAAAATCTCTCAAAAAAAAAAAAAAGTGTTACAAATGACCAGTTAGCTGAGTTCAAGAAGGGAGAGTGTGGCCTGGTTGTGGAGGGCCTGCAGAGACCCATCCCTCCTTCTGTCCTCTGCCCCTGCAGCCCTGCCGCTCTCAAACCTTTATGAGACCCTGGGAGTCGTTGGATCGACCACCACTCAGCTGTACACGGACCGCACAGAGAAGCTGAGGCCTGAGATGGAGGGGCCCGGCAGCTTCACCATCTTTGCCCCTAGCAACGAGGCCTGGAGTTCCTTGTCAGTCGTAAGATGACCTACTTCTGTCCGGGGGACTCTTACTGGAGACCATCACATTCCCTGAGGGGTGGGCATGGAGAATGGGATTCTGTAGTGATTCCCTACCGTTCACAAAGCTTTTTCCTTAACCCTTCATGTGAAGGGTTTGAGCTAAACAATACCTCACCAGGTTCCATTGGACGGACAGGCCTTTGTGCTCATGGAGGCAAAGAACAGAGGCCTGAGTTCACTGGGGCTTAGCAAGCATGTCTCCCAGATTGCAAGGCCCACTGTTGAATGTGGGGTCTGCAGCCCCCTGACTGTCACACTGCTTTTCCCTCCAGGAGGTGCTGGACTCCTTGGTGAGCAACGTCAACATCGAGCTGCTCAACGCCCTTCGCTACCACATGGTGGACAGGCGGGTCCTGACTGACGAGCTGAAACATGGCATGGCCCTCACCTCCATGTACCAGAATTCCAACATCCAAATCCACCACTATCCCAATGGGGTAGGGGCATCCTCATTGCACAGTCTGGGTTTTGCCCACAGGAGACCTCTTCTGGTTGGAATGTGCAGTGGTTTCTGGGTTCTGCTCCTGCAGCAGTGATAAGCTGGGCAGCCCCCCTGCCCCTCAGGCTGCTTCTCCTGGGGCCCTCTAGTTTTGTGGCGTTTGGAACCCACTTTCTGCTGCTGTGCTAGAAAACACCGTCTTCCCCTCCTGGGGCTTCCAGGCTGTGCCTTCGTTGTCAACCACTCATTCTTGCTCCTTCTCTGGGCAGATTATAACCGTCAATTGCGCTCGGCTGCTGAAGGCTGACCACCACGCGACCAACGGTGTGGTGCACCTCATTGATAAGGTCATCTCCACGGTCTCCAACAACATCCAGCAGATCCTCGAGATCGAGGACACTTTTGAGACTCTTCGGGTAAGGGACTGCCCTGGGTGGAGGCCCAGGCAGGGGTCGCACTGCCTCCCAAGAGGGGCTGGCAGGACCTCTTCTGTCTCCTGTGGAAAACATGGAGCAAGCTCCCCTAAGTGCCCATGAATGTGGGGAGTCCACTCACCAGACACTCGGCTGACCTAATCTGTCTACTTCATAAAACTTGCCTTTCCCTAGCTCTTTGAAAACTCTGCAGTTCATGGCTGCAGCAGGACGGGGTCCTCTGAGCCTGGGGCTGCCTGGGCCCGCACTGTGGGAAACAGGTGGGGGGCTCTAGATGCTTGTTCCCGCAGAGAGCACTAGAGAAAGGCCCACCAGGCTGCCTGATGCTCCTGGACCCCTGTCCCCACCATGGACCCCTATTCTAGGCATACCCATGTTGCTTCGGATCCCAGGCCATTAGAGAGGCCACCAGTGTGGACACAGGAGCCTGGAGTCTGACTTCCGCCCTGGTTTCTGTTCCAAGACCCGCAGAGCACTGTCCTCCCCTGCCCAGCAGGCCCCGTCTCCCAGCTGGAGGGCCGAGCAGGCGTTCCTCTAGGCAGTGGCTGCTCAGGAGGAAGTGAACGTGGCTGCCCTGTCAGGATTTCCGCCCTGATTCAAGGAGAACTTCCTAACCACAAAGGGTACCAGGGGGAGCTGGGCAGTCCCTCCCTGGAGATCTCCACCACAGAGAGGCAAACATGCAGGGGCAGCTAAACCAAGGGCCTATGCAAGTAATGGGGGGCTCTTCGGGGCTAACACCCATATTCCCTTCTGACTCGTGCTTATTACGCCCTCTCCTTTCCAGGTGGTGTTCTGTGTGCCGGGGTGTAGGGGTAAATGAGGCAGGCACATGTCTGTCCTCAGCAGACCTAGGACTCTATCCTGGGGGGGCGGACAAGAACAAATAAGCAAGGTGGCCCCCCGGACTGTGGTGTGCGTTATGAAGGTGGCAGGTGTGGGTGGTGGCGAGAGGCTAGCTGGGACTGACGGTCAGGGCAGGTCTCTCTACAAGAGATGACTTTTGAGCTGAGGCCTGAAGGACAAGGATGGCTCAGAGATACAAACCTCTGGGGAAGAGCAGAGCACAGCAGGAGACAAGAGAGCGTGAGCAGGCGCAGCACACGGGAGGTCAGGGGGCAGGGTGGGAAGCACGAGGCAGCGGAAAGCTGAGGTCAGGGCTACCCAGCCAGATCCCACAGGACCTTGCACACCCAGTGAAGGGGACATCTCATCCCTAGAGCAGCAGAAAACCACCAGGGCTTGTAGAAGGTGGTCTGGCTGCTGTGTAGACAGAGCAAGACAATGGACACTCACAGACTCTGTAAGTAATTAGCAGTTAACTAGTGAATTACAGAAGTGAGGATGGAGGGGACCAGCAGTTAGTGTAATGGCTATGTCGCTGGACTCCCATGGAGCCAGCCGTGGTTCGAGTCCCGGACTCGGTGGCTTAAACTCACACTGGGCACATATGTGTGTGTGCCCAAGATTCTGAGAGGAGAATGGAGGAGAAGGGATTGTGGCATGGCCATCCCCCCCTGGGGGGGGGTG